GAGAGAGAGAGAGAGAGAGAGAGAGAGAGAGAGAGAGAGAGAGAGAGAGAGAGAGAGATTTCTGAGGAGGATGGTGGGCGCTGGAAATAAGGGCGGACGAATCGTGAAAGCGAAGGGGTGAGATGGAGGGCAAAAATTAGGAAGGGGGTGGTTGGAGGGAAGAGCGAGGGAGGCGGAGGAGGTAGAGAGATGGAGGGAGGTAGAGAGTGGAGAAGATGTGGAAACGGTGGAGGTAGCTCGATGATCGTGGGGGGATTTTTTGGATGCATAGCCCCACCAGCCCGGCCATTGCAGGACTTTTTTTTTTTCTTTTACTTTTTTCCCTTTTTATTTTTTCGTTTTCGTTTATCTTTTTTATGGAATGAATGAATGAACGAATCAATCAATCAATCAACCAACCAATCATTCGATCCAGCAATGAAGATCAAGATATTTTCCCTGCAAGATATTTTCCCTGGCCGACACTAGCCCGACCCTCCCGGATGATTCATGATTGATTGATTGATTGATTGATTGATTGATCGCCCACCTTCACTTGCAAGCCTTGGTTAAGAAATCGCAGCCCCCCTGGCCCCTCCCGCTCGCACTCTCTCCTTCGTCTTCACCGCAAATTTTCATCCCGGTAGGCGTCCCATTTTGTAGTCGGGTTGCTACCGTCTTCACCTGAATAGAAGTAATCTAATAAAGTAAAAAAAAACAAGAAGAGGTGGTGGGCGAGGGGGTGGGCGAGGGGGTGAGAGATGGTAGGATGCTACCGTTATTTTTCCCTTTTTTTTTTCTTTCAATCAATCAGTTAATCAATCAATTTATCGATCAAGTAATCAAGATCACAATCTTGATTGTTTTATCTAATTGATTGTCCGAAAAGAAAAAATAACCAAAAAAAAAAAGTCTCCACAACCGGAGCCCAACCCTTCCCGAACCTAGCCCGACATTACCGACCACCCGACGTTTTTTATTTTCTTTTTGTTTATGTTCCTTTTTCTTTCCCGTTTTCGATGTTCGTTTTTTCAATCCATTAATGAATCTGTCGTCCAATCTAATTATCAATCAATCAATCTCTTCATCAAGTCATTGATTGATTGATTGATTGATTGGCGGAAGAGGAGGAGGAGGAGGAGGAGGAGGAGGAGGAGGAAGAAGAGGACGAGGAGGAGAAGGAGGAAGAAGAGCACGAGGAGGAGGAGGAGGAAGAAGAGGACGAGGAGGAGGAGCAAGAAGAGGACGAGGAGGAGGAGGAGGAAGAAGATATGGCGGAAGAGGAAGAGGAGGGGTAAGAGGAGGACAAAGATATGGCAGAAGAGGAGGAGGAGGAGGAGGAGAAGGAGGAGGAGGAGGAGGAAGAGGACGAGGAGGAGGAGGAAGAAGCTCATTTGATTTTGGTTTCCAATTAAAACAGAACAAGAAGCAATCAATCAATCAATCAATCTATCAATCAATCCTACGAGCATTGGCGGGGGTAGGGGGATGATGAGCTGCGCGCGGTGTCAGGAATGGAAAATGTGTATGAGGCTTTCGATCGGAAGGAGCGCGGCGAGGGGCTGGCCCCAAGTGTTTGGTACCAAATTGTTACACGGCGAGAGTGAATGTGATGAGGGTGCGCGTTGGCGTGGTTGGTGGAGGACGGTAGATGGGGCGCGCAGTGTCGACGCAGCGGAGCCATCGGGTTGCGAGGCGGGAAAAGGACAAACTCTACGTTCAGTGCTTTTGTTTTTTTTGTGTGCTGTCCGCTTTTCCCGTTTTGCATTTTGTTTGGGTCCTTTTTGCTTGTTTACACGTCCTCAAAAGCTTCGTTTGCCGAGGGCAGAGGCGCTTGGCCCACACACACACGCGGCCCGATCACGAACCTATGTGTGCCCTGCCGAGAGCCACTAGATCAGCAGTGACAGTCACTCTCTCTCTCTCTCTCCCCCTCCCTCTGTCCCTCCCTCCCTCTCCCCTCCTCCCTCCCTCTCCCCTCCTCCCTCCCTCTCCCCTTTGTGCGTCCTTTTGCACAGATCCAGCACGGCGCGCACGCTTTGCTTCAGGACTCCCCGCTGCGTCGACACTGCGCGCACACTCTTCTCTCTCTCTCTCTCACGCCCTCCCTCCC